GTAAATATGCTGTAAATGTTAGTCCCTGCCCTCTGTCCTGGCTGTCATGAGGCCAGTAGTGGAGCTTGGGACAGCAAGAAGGAAACCTGTCTGAAAGCAGGAGGAGCTTCAGATTTGAGGGCCCAAATCCTCTGGCCAGCCTAGAGTCACCTCAATGGCCTGGGAAGGAAGCAGACACATTGTTGGATGGCAGGGAGCCATGGCCTCTGTTTACTCCCAATCAGGGCAGGTCTGAGTCTGGAGGTATATGTGGTCCAAATGGTCCAATAAGTGAGTGAAGGTGGGGTCGAGAACCCAGGTCCTAACCACCCGACAGAGTGTTCCTGCTGCCCCACAGCCACCTTCCAGCCTGAAACCCCCTACATCTCTTTATCCAGACACAGCTTGGGTGTTCACCCTACCAGGACCTCCGTTTTCTCATCTGAAATGAGGACTTCCTGCTCAGGAGCTCCTGAGGCCAGGGATGATGTCTGGGGCTACTCACTCATGTGGGAGTATCACCAGAAGAGAAGGCACCCTGGGGTGGGACGAAGGTGCCAGAGGAGGAAAACAGCTGTGTCTGACCCAGGCACAAGGTTGCTCCAGGTTGCTAGTCCCACGTGGCATTGCTGCTTCTCTCTGGGAGAGATATATATATATATATATATATATATATATATATATATATACACACACACACATATATATATATATATATAAAATAATTATTTTTTTGAGACAGTGTCTCTCTCTGTCACCCAGGCTGGAGTACATGGAGTACAGTGGCACAATCTCGGCTCACTGCAACCTCTGCCTCCCAAGTTCAAGCGATTCTCCTGCCTTAGCCTCCTGAGTAGCTGAGATTACAGGCTCATGACACCATGCCCAGCTAATTTTTTGTATATTTCAGTAGAGATGGGGTTTCCCCATTGTGACCAGGATGGTCTTGATCTCTTGATCTCGTGATCCGCCCAACTTAGCCTCCCAAAGTGCTAGGATTACAGACTTGAGCCACTGCATACAGCCATGCTTGGGTAACTTTTAAAATTTTTTTTGTAAAGACAGGTTTTTGCCATGTTGTCCTATCTGGTCTTGAACTCCTGGGCTTAAGCGATTCTCCTGCCTCTGCCTCCAAAAGTTCTGGGATGTCAGAGATGTCTCAGGGCGTCAGCCGCCACAGCTAGACAGTTTTGGTTTCTTTCTTTCTTTCTTTTTTTGTAAAAGAGGAATAATAACAGCCATCATGTGAGGTAGTTGAGAGTTCAATGAAGTATAAAGTATGTCACATTTGCTTAGCACTGAGTCCTGTATATTGATTGCAGGGGCTTAATCGGTGGCACCTGTCTTCACTCAGGGCATATTTATTGAGTACCTGCTGGATATCAGGCTCTATCCCAATCTCCTGGATTGACAGGAACAAAACCCTTGGGCAACCCAGTAAAGGGAGACAGATAAGTAAGCAGACAAGCTTGTCAGAGTAAGAAGCACTACATTCGGGTATTACAGGGTACTTTGGGAAGTGGGGAGGTGGTAGGGAAAGAGCAGGGAAGACCTTCTGGATGAGGTGCTTCCTTTACTGAAATGTGGATAGGAACTAGCCAGGTTTGGAGCAGGGGCAGTGCAGCGAGTGTTCCAAGCAGGAGAGAAGTCATCTGTTGTGTGATAGGTTCTTGGGGTGGGGCTGAGGACAGATGGGACTCAGGTGGGGAAACATGGCCTTGCCCTGAGGTTCTTTTTTTTTGTTTTATATTTTTTGTTTTGTTGTTGTTGTTGTCGTTGTTTTTGAGACAGAGTCTCACTCTGTGGCCCAGGCTGGAGTGCAGTGGTATGATCTAGCTCACTGCAGCCTCCGCCTCCTGGGTTCAAGTGAGTCTCCCATCTCAGTCTCCTGAGTAGCTGGGATTACAGGTGTGTGCCACCACACCCGGCTCATTTTTGTCTTCTTAGTAGAGATGGGACTTCACCACGTAGGCCAGGCTGGTCTCGAACTTCTGACCTCAGGTGATCCCCCTGCCTCAACCTCCCAAAGTGCTGGGATTACACGCATAAGCTACTGTGCCCGGCCTGCCCTGAGTTCTTATAGGCCAGAGGAGAAACCATCTCTCCTGGACTGTGTTCCACAGAGGTGAGCGGATGTGAGAAAGGAGACGTCTCATCTGTCAGGATTGCCTTGGAAATTTCATCCTCAGTTCTTCCCCTTCACCATCTCATCCCTGCTGCCCCACGGTTCTGGAGATCACCAGGTCTGGTATTTCCATCTCTGCCCACTGTGGCTCCCACCCCCATTCAGCGTGGTGTGTGTAGTGGTGTCCTGGACCTTAGCTATGGTGGTCAGGAGGGCCATGGCCCTTCAGAACCGGAGGGATGTCTCGGGGTTTTTTTTTCCCTGGAAGAGATGAGAAGTTCTTAAGAAAACGGTGCAACTGCCTGCCCTTGAGATGGTGGACAGAAGAGAGGGTGTAGCTCACTGCATGGGGTGCCAGGACACTCCACTCTAGCACCCCTGACCTGCGCATCGTGCCTGACAGCCCCCAATGGGTGGGTCAGGGGTGCTAGAGTGGAGCCACCTTCCTGGATTTTATCCAAATCATGAGCTGACCTCTCCCACCCTCATGCTCCTTTCTGTATAGCCTAAGGATTTGCTCTCCCTTGGGGAAAGACTGGACACATTTTCAAAACAGTGTTGAGAGTAATCTCCAGAGGGGAAGAAGAATAAATAAGCCAAAAAAAAAAAAAAAAAAAAAAAAAAAAAGCAAAAGGAAATGTGTGGTTTTTTTTTGTTTTTTGTTTTTTTTTGTTTGTTTGTTTGTTTTTTTTAAAAAAAAGGAAAAAAAGTGGAGGAAGGCCTCAGCCAGCTCCTTTGAGTGGAAGATTCCAGTTGGAAGGTCACAGAGACCATAGGCAGCCAGGGGCACCGGGGGAAGGCATCCGTCCAGATTCAGTATCAGTTCAGCTGACAGGGTCACCCTCAGCACGTCAGCTGCTGTGCTCCACACTGCAAGGGCAAAGCTGCAAAGATCTGAATCCTCCCTCCCACTGAGGACAGCTCTGGTTGGGGAGCTATGGCAAAAAATCAGCAATGGACTGCGAGACAAGAGAAAGCATGCCAAATGTCATAACAGAAAGGTTCAAATAAGCCTGATGAGGGCTGGAGCGGGTGGGGCTCACTCCTGGGGGTGTGGAGGGTGCTCAGGCTTGCTGAGGAAGGTCTTCTAGAACACAGTGGGTTGAGTTAGACTTTGAAGCCCGGCTAGGATTTCAATGGTCAGAGACTTAACAGAAGCCTTTCTGGGTAGAGCAGATGGCGTGAGCAAAGGTGCAAGGTATGGAAACTCTTCAGTGCTTTGAGAAACAGGGATGTTTAATTTTCTTAAATATTTAATAGCTTAATGAAGATATAATTCACATACTACACAATTTACTCGCTAATGTGTACCATTTACAAAGTTATGTAACAAACACCACCATCATTTATAGAAAATAGAAAAGAAACCATGTACTCCCCATCTCACCACTTCCCTAGTCCTAGGCGACTACTCATCTACTTTCTGTCTCTGTGGATTTGCCTATGCTGGGTATTTTGTATAAATGGAATATTTTTTGTCTTTTGTGACTGGTTCTTTCCCTTAGCATAATGTTTTCAAGGTTCATTGCTGCTGTAGCAGGTATCAGTACTTCATTCCTTTTTAATTTTATTTATTTTATTTTTATTATTTTTTTGAGACAGAGACTCACTCTGTTACCCAGGCTGGAGTGTAGTGGTTGCAATCTCGGCTCACTGCAACCTCCACCTCCTGGGTTTAAGTAATTCTCCTGTCTCACCCTCCTGAGTAGCTGGGACTACCGGCGCACACCACCACACCTGGCTAATTTTTGTATTTTTATCAGAGACGGGGTTTTTGCCATGTTCTTTACCCACCTCAGCCTCCCAAAGTGCTGGGATTACAGGCGTGAGCCATCGTGCCTGGCAGTACTTTATTCCTTTTTACTTATTTCTTTAACTTGATTCCTTTTTATGGCCAAGCAGCATTCACATGTGGATTCAGATGTGATATGGGTGTTCACATCTTGTTTATCCATTCATTCATTGTTTCCCCTTTAGGGCTATTGTGAATATGCTCCTGTGAACATTCGTATACAGATTTTGTGTGGATGTGCGTTTTCAGGACATTTCCTGTAGCATGGCGCAAAGGAAAGTTGTGTGGAGTGGGAGAAAGTGGGTGAAGCAGAAGGGGCTTGTAGTCTGAGTGGTTGAGTAGAAGTGAGAAGGGAGAGGTCAGGTTCCCACTGCGGCCTAACTGGGAGTCCGGGTGTGCAAGGGCCAGGCCCATGGGTGCGTGAGGGGCTGTCCCCTACCCCGCACCCACCTTCATTGTTGTGTCAGACCTGGCAGCTGCTTGCTGAGCTGGAAATAGCCTGAGCAGCTGGTATTTTCCCTGGAAATCGGGTGCATTTTTTCCCGTGTCCTGCTAAGGACCAAAATTAGTTAAACACCTAGCGAAACGTGGGCCACACGATTAGTCCAGAGAAGGGGAATGTTGTCAACAGGAAGTTGGCTGGCCAGGGGAAAGAGGTGGTCAGGAAGACCAAGGTCAGTAAGCCGAGTATAAACAGAGGCTAACCAGGGACGTCCCCGCCCTTCTCACACTCACACAGCAGTGCTGTGTCTGTTTACAGGAAATGCTGCAAGTCTCTCATTGACCCCATTGGACAGATGGGAAAACAGAGGCATGGTGTTAAAGGGATCTGCCACTCAGGGACAGAAGAGAGATGAAGGCTGGAGTCTTCAGTTCTGCTGTGAGCAGAAGGTTTAGTAAAACCCAGGCCGTGCCCTCAATGCTTTGCCTGTCTTTGAGTTCACAGAGAAGACTGAGGACACTAAAACAAGGAAGAGTTTATGCTGTTTCAGTCTCCTAAAAAGAACACCAAGTCCCACCCCAAACCCCAAAGCCAAAACATAAACTAGGCTTTAATTACCGTCTCTTCTTTCCTTCCTTTTTTTTTTTCTTTTTGTTGTCCAGCCAGAAAACATTATGTTGTTAGACAAGAATATTCCCATTCCACATATCAAGCTGATTGACTTTGGTCTGGCTCACGAAATAGAAGATGGAGTTGAATTTAAGAACATTTTTGGGACGCCAGAATTTGTGGGTGAGTTTTAGGCTTGTTCCTCTCTCAGCTAAGAATCTGGCATCAAAGGTAGAGATCCCGGGAAGAAACCTGTGTCTGGGGCCATGGACTCTGGGCAAAGAGATGATGCCTTGGGACATCGCTAGAAACCTAATGGGTGGGGGAGGAAATGTCTTGTTGGGCCTGTGGGTGAGGGCCCAGGTGTAGGCTTTGAGTGCTCAGTAGGGTAAGGGCTGAGTGGGGCCCTGTGGCTCTCAGTGGGGTTACAGCCTAGGCTGTTAAAACCTTGCAGCGCTGGCCCCACCTCTTGCTCTTAGTTGAGTTTATTCTTATGAAGATTTAAAAATACCTCGCCCTCTTGAATTCCCATAAACTCAACCTTCTCTGAACTAGCTTTTCATTTCCTGAAAAAGAAAAAGGAAATCATCTGCCAAATACCAAATCCACCCACTCGCCTCTCCTCTATGCCTGGCTTTATTCATGTATGGGGGTGCCCAGCTCCCGTGGGGCCCTGGCTGCTTTCTCTTCCCTCTGTTTCTCCCACCCTTGGCCCAGGCCCCTGCCCATTCTGTACCCCAGAAGCCTCCTTATAGGGCTTGGGCCAGAGGTTGGGGTCATGAAGAAACAGCCTGTAGGGAGGGAAGGAATGAGCACTGAGAACCACCATCTGCTTATCTGCTGCGGGAGTTGGAGTGGTCTTGGAGATAGAGGGCGGGCATGATGTCCTCAACATCTGGATGCTAAAACTTCTGACCACAGTCAAATCAAAAAGAGACAGAATGTATCAGACCAGCCACCTGATGGATTTTCGGGCTCTGCAGCCACTATAGAATGCTGCTCAGAGACCCCACAGACCCCAGGGCAGGGAGCCCTTGCTGTGTGCCAGGCACTATGTCTCATGCTCTGCAGACATTGTCTTAATTATCCTCAAATGGCTTCCTGAAGCAGGGTTCGTTATTTTCTCCAACAAGTGCCTTGTTCAAGGCAACACAAGGCCATGGAGCTGAGATGCAAATATAGAACCAGCCAACAGCCAAACCTGTGTTCTTCCCATTATGCCAGGTTGTCTCTCTAAGAAAACTGTACAGTGACAGAGACATAGAAATATGAAGAGAGGATGAGCGAAAGAGCGTAGAAAGAGGAAGCCAATCACAGGTCACTTTGGCATTCTAAAAGGTGGAAATAGAGACAAAAAAAAAAAAAAAAAAAAAAAAAGTAGAAGCACTATTTGAAGAGAATGGCTGAGAGTTTTCAGAACTGCATCCATGCATTCACAGACACAGAAAGGACAGAAATCTTACCTGGACGCATTAGAGTGAAACTGAAGGGTACCAAGACAAAGCAGTCAGAGAAAAGACAAGACAAATACCTACAAAAGAACAATAATAAGATCAACAACATATTTCTCAAAACAACAATGGAAGCCAGTATCCAGTGGAATTTTATCTTCAAAGAGCTGAGGAAAAATAAAAAATAAACCCATAATTGTGTGCCCAGAAAAAATATATCTCAAGAATGAGGCCAGGCATGGTGGCTCTTGCCTGTAGTCCCAGCACTTTGGGAGGTTGAGGCGAGTGAATCACTTGAGGTCAGGAGTTCAAGACCACCCTGGCCAACATGGTAAAACCCTGTCTCTACTAAATAAACAAAAATTAGCCAAGTGTGGTGGTGCATACAGGTAATCCCAGCTACTTGGGAGGCTGAGGCGAGAGGATCATTTGAACCTGGGGGGCAGAGGTTGCCGTGAGCCGAGATCACGCCATTGCACTCTAGCCTGCATAACAGAGTGAGACCCTGTCTGAAAAAAAAGGCAAAAGATTTAAGAAAAACAAAAAAGAACAATTAAGAACAAAAAACCCAAAACATTGATATAGATAGAGTTTACCTCCAATAGACCATCATTAACAGACCTTCTAAAAGATGTGCTTCTGAATTCAAGAAATGAACTCTGAAGGGAGGCCTGAAAGCAAGAAGTAATAGAAGCAAAGAAACCAGTAAATATTAAGCAAATAATATAAACATTTTTCTGCCTAAAAATGTGATGATGGTCGGGCAGAGTGGATCATGCCTGTAATCGCAGTATTTTGGGAGGCCAAGATGGGTGGATCACTTGACACTAGGAGTTTGAGACCAGCCTGGCCAACATGGTGTAACCCCATCTCTACTAAAAATACAAAAAATTGGCCGGGTGGCTCAAGCCTGTAATCCCAGCACTTTGGGAGGCTGAGGCGGGTGGATTACGAGGTCAAGAGATCGAGACCATCCTGGTCAACATGGTGAAACCCCGTCTCTACTAAAGGTGCAAAAAATTAGCTGGGCATGGTGGCGCGTGCCTGTAATCGCAGCTGCTCAGGAGGCTGAGGCAGGAGAATTGCCCGAACCCAGGAAGCGGAGGTTGCGGTGAGCCGAGATTGCGCCATTGCACTCCAGCCTGGGTAACAAGAGCAAAACTCCGTCTCAAAAAAAAAAAAAAAAAAAAAAGCAAAATTAACCAGGCATGGCAGTGCGTGCCTGTAGTCCCAGCTACTCTGGAGGCTGAGGCAGGAGAATTGCTTGAACCTGGGAGGCAGAAATTGCGAAGAGCCAAGGTAGTGCCACTGCACTCCAGCCTGGATGACAGTGAGACTCTGTCTCAAAAAAACAAAACAAAATAATAGGATGGGTGCTGTGGCTCACACCTATAATCTCAGCACTTTGGGAGGCCAAGGCAGGTGGATCACCTGAGGTCAGGAGTTCAAGACCAGCCTGGCCAACACGGTGAAGCCCCATATCTACTAAAAATACAAAAATTAGCTGGATGTGGTGCTAGGTGCCTGTAATCCCAGCTACTTGGGAGGCTGAGGCAGGAGAATCATTTGAACCCAGGAGGCAGACCTTGCAGTAAGCCAAGATCATGCCATTGCACTCCATCCTGGGCAAAAAGAGTGAAACTCTGTCTCAAAAAAAAAATAGAAATAAAAACAAATAAATTATTAGAAAAATGACCAGTTTGGATGGCACAGCAATGTCACCTTGCTATGAGTCTCTAAATGCATAGTCCAAATTTCTGTGCCTATCTTGTTGAACCGGTGACAGTGTTTGGTCTGCAGACCAAACTTCAGATATCATTAACCTAAAGAAAGTCTTTCATGTGCACAGTAGGAAACACATGCAAAAAAAAGTCCATAGCAATTGTTCCAATAATTTTTTTTTTTTTTAGAAGAAATTTCACACTGTCACCCAGGCTGGAGTGCAGTGGTGCCATCTCTGCTCACTGCAACCTCTGCCTCCCAGGTGAAAGTGATTCTTCTGCCTCAGCCTCCCTCCAGAGTACCTAGGACTACAGGCACGCACCACCATGCCTGGCTTATTTTTGTATTTTTAGTAGAGACGGGGTTTCTCCATGTTGGTCAGGCTGGTCTCGAACTCCTGACCTCAGGTGATCCACGAGCCTTGGTCTCCCAAAGTGCTGTGATTACAGGCGTGAGCCACCATGCCCAGCAGTTACAATAATTTTAAAACATGGAAACCATTTACACGAACTCTGAGAGGAGAATGACTAAAAAATGATAAACATTCACGCAATGGATTACTATATAGCAGTGAAAATATAAAAAGTATAAATGATTATTCAGTGAAACACTAGAAGCATAAATGTTGAGTGAAAAAAATAAAGTGACTATAAATCAAATGCTGTATGACAGCATTTTTTTTTTAAAGACAGAGTCTTGCTCTTGTTACCCAGGTTGAGGTGCAATGGCACGATCTCAGCTCACTGCAACCTCTGTCTCCAGGGTTCAAGCAATTCTCCTGCCTCAGCCTCCCAAGTAGCTGCGATTACATGTGCCTGCCACCACGTCTGGCTAATTTTTGTATTTTTAAATAGAGACAGTGTTTCACCATGTTGGCCAGGCTGGTCTCGAACTGACCTGATTCGCCTCCATCACCCTCCCAAAGTGCTGGGATTACAGGCCTGAGCCACCATGCCCTATCTTAAGACGGCATTTTTATAAAGCTAAAACATCAGCAAAACATGGAGAGTAGTTCCCTGTGTCTTGAAGTAGAGGGAGGCAAGAGGACAGGAGGGCAGACATAGGCTGTGGATGCAATAGTTTTGATACTGTTTTAGATAAACTCACACTTTCCCACTGTCTGCCTTTTCTATTTGCACTTGTACGGGCTCAGTCCTTCCTCCTTCTCAAGCTACTGCCCTCTCTTTTGCCTCCATGATCGCCAAGCTTTTAGAAAGTATCATCTACAATCTTACTTCCACTTCCTTGTATTTCCTTTGGGAGGCCAAGAAGGGCGGATCATCTGAGGTCGGGAGTTCGAGACCAGCCTGACCAACATGGAGAAACCCGTCTCTACTAATACCAAATTAGCTGGGCATGGTGGTACGTGCCTGTGATCCCAACTACTCAGGAAGTTGAGGCAGGAGAATCACTTGAACCCAGGAGGCAGATCTTGCAGTGAGCCAAGATCCTGCCATTGCACTCCAGCCTGGACAGAAAGAGTGAAACTCCGTCTTAAAAAATAAAAATAAAAACTAATAAATTATTAGAAAAATGACCACAGTTGGGGTGTCACAGCAATGTCACATTGCTATAAGGCAAAGTCCAAATTTCTGTGCCTAACTTGTTGGACAATCTTGGCTCACTGCAACCTCCATTTCCCAGGTTCAAGCGATTCTCCTGCCTCAGCCTCCCAAGTAGCTGGGATTATAGGCAACCACCACCATGCCCAGCCAATTTTTTTTTTTGTATTCTTAGTAGAGACAGGGTTTTGCCATGTTGGCCAGGCTGGTCTTGAACTCTTGGCCTCAAGTCATCAGCCCGCCTCAGCCTCCCAAAGTGCTGGGATTACAGGTGTGAGTCACAGTGCCCAGCCTGTACCTTCTTGACATTCTGTGCACTGCGGTGGCTATGAAATTCAACATTCACTTTCTAAGGATTATCTGCTTGATTTCTGGGGAGGATTTGGTCCTCCTCTCTCTTCGGCAGAGCCTTCTCTCCTAGACTCTGCACCCTCTCCTGGTCATCACATCATCGGCTCAGCTGCTACTCCTTCCTGTACATGGATGGCTCCAAACGTGATGGCTCTTGCCCTGGAACCTGTCCCTGGACATCTTCCCGTGGCTGCCCCTTAAGCTCATTGTCCCAGAGGACCCCAAGGATTTACCTCCTCATCAGGTGGGAGGTACCCTCTTTCAGACCAGACTCAGAGGAAAGTGGAGTCCCTCTCTGCCTTCTTTTTCACCATTTTCCAGCACTGACATGACTGGTCTTTACCAGAGAGTTCTAAAGCAGACCTCATAGCCGAGGCCCTATTTCTCCTTTTGCACCTTCATTTCCCCACCCTTCTCTTCCTTTCTCAGGTATTCTGTGTACTTTTCTCCTTCCTCTCTCTCAAGACCTGTTTGTAAAAGGTTTTTACCAGGATAACAGACAACAATTTTCTTAGTTCTGTTGGGTTGCTTTAATGAAATACCTTAAAGTGAGTCATTTATAAACAACAGAAGTTCATTGTTCATAGTTCTGGAGGATGGGAAGTCCAAGGTCAAGGTGCCAGCAGAGTTGGAACCTGATGAGAGTTTACCCTGTTTCATAGATGGTGCCTTCTTGCTAAGTCATCAAATGACCAAAGGGGCAAACAAGCCCTCTCAGGCCTCTTTTTCTTTTTCTTTCTCTCTCTCTCTCTCCTTTTTTTTTTTTTTCAAATGGGGTCTCACTCTGTCACCCAGGCTGGAGTGTAGTGGTGCAGTTATGGCTCACTACAGCTTCAACCTCCCAGGCTCAAGCAGTCCTCCTACCTCAGCCTCTTCCCGAGTACCTTAGACTACAGGCATGTGCCACCATGCCCAGCTAATTTTTAAAAATTTTTTGTGGAGATGGGGTCTCTCTGTGTTGCCCAGGCTGGTCTCCAACTCCTGGGCTCCAGCAATCCTCCCCCCTCAGCCTCCCAAAGTGCTGGGATTACAGGTGTGAGCCACCACACCCAGCCCTCAGGCCTCTTTATGAGGGTACGGTCTGCTTGTGAGGTTTCCATTCTCATGACCTAGTCACCTCCTAAAGACTCTACTTCTTCATACTATTACATTGGGGATTTGCTGTCAACATATGAATTTTGGGGAAACACAAACATTTGGGCCATGGCAACTCCTTTCCTCAGAATTCTTAGATGCAGACCACCTTTATCTGCTGCTCTACTCTTCCTGGGAATTCAGGATAGAGAGAGTTAGTACCAAATTCCCTAAAATTCCTTACAACTATCTCTCCTCTCATGTTAACACTCCTGTTGACTCTTTAATATGACCTCTTTCAGCTCCAGAAATTGTGAACTACGAGCCCCTGGGTCTGGAGGCTGACATGTGGTAAGTTGGACAGGTCACCCAGGTGGCCTAGGGATCCTTCCAAGGGCAGAAGGCCTCAGATCCTGCTCCAGGTGACATCCCCTTAACCATGTAAGCCCCTTACTCCACATTCACCGTTCAGAGCCTCTGGCAGCTCCCCCAGTGTGTGAGACCTTTGACCAGGGCAGCTGGAGGGCCACTAGGCCTGGACCTGAAGCCAGTTAGCACCTGACCAGGTCAGAGCTTTGTCAGCAGTGGAGGAGCAAGAAGAGAGGCAAGGTGGAGGTGCAGGCTCACCCCCAGGCCTGCCCCAGCCAGGTTAAAAATAATAGTAACAGTAACTTGCTCAGTCAGCCAACCAAGTGGTCACTGAAAGTTCACGAATTGGGGCACTGTGCTAGGCCTGTGGATACTGCAGTGATTAGTTCTCTGCACAGATGCCACTCATTTCATTTGGATGCTTCTTTACAGTTGGCTGAGCACCTTTGTTACCTGGTTTTCTAAAATCCTGTTAACATTCCTGTGAGGTGGTTATCATTATCCTTATAAGGAGAAAGGGCTCAGAGGTGGTAAGGGACTTACCCAAATTACACAGCCTGCAAGTGCAGGATTCTGACCTTGAACTTGGGTCCTCAGACTCAGGGTTCAGAGGTCAATGACTCCAAACACATCCCAGGCTGCTGCTGAAGGGCGGGATGGAGAGGGGTGTGGAGCATGAGACAGTATCTAGGAGCTGCTGTGGGGGAGGCAAGTGACCTCGTCCCCTCAGATCCATGCAGGTGTCCCTTGCTGGTCGGGGATTGGACCCAGGCGGTGCTGACTCAACTGTTCTTTATTTTACAGGAGCATAGGCGTCATCACCTACATCCTGTGAGTATCTCTGATCCAGGGTCTCTGGCTCAGCTTAAATATGGGGGAACCAGAAGGAATGAGAGAGGGGCAGGCAGACAGACTGACATTTACTAAGTACTCACCATAATCCGGATGTGTTAAGTCTACACAGGAAGCCTGAGGCTAAGCGCTGTGAGTCCATTTCATCTATCTGACCCAGGGTCAGACATCCAGGGGTGCAGCCTGTGCTCTGCACAGCCTGTGTCTGCATTCCTACTATGGAATGCCAGGGTTCCCCTGCCCAGCCTCCCCCAGACTGAGGTGTACTGGAGAATGTCACTTTTCACTCCGACTCTCAGAACTCTTTTTTTTTTTTTTTTTTTTTTAAGAGACGGAGTCTTGCTCTGTCACCCAGGCTGGAGTGCAGTGGCACAATCTCAGTTTACTGCAACCTCCAGATCCTGGATTCAAGCAATTCTCCTGCCTCAGCCTCCTGAGTAGGTGGGACTACAGGCATGTGCCACCATGCAGGACTAATTTTGTATTTTTAGTAGAGACGGGGTTTCACCATGTTGGTCAGGCTGGTCTCGAACTCCTGACCTCATCGTCTCCCCTCAGCCTCTCAAAGTGCTGAGATAACAGGCGTGAGCCACCATGCCCGGCCCTTCATTCAGAACTCTTGGGACAGCCCTGTGAAGCCGTTTATGCCCTCCCCAATCTTGCCTCTTCTTTCTTTCCCCGTTTTCCCTCTTTTTCCCAGATTCCCTTTTCTTCCTGTCTCTCTTCTCTTTCCTCTTTGCCTGTCCCTGAAGTATTCGGTTGCTTAGACAGAGATTTCCTGCATAGCTCCAGTGTGTGGTGAGTTACCTCTGGGGCTGGAGTCCTGTAATACTATCTCTTTCCACTTCCGTGGCCTTGGGCAGGGACTTAACCTCTGGGCTTGTTTTTCTCGTCAGAAAAATAGGAATCCCAAACTTCCCACCATGGGCATGTTGTGAAAGCTAAATAAGTAACATGTGCAAGTTTCCTAGCCCTGACGCTGGCACGTGCACAGTGGGCAAGTGAGTGTTCATTCCATCGGCCCTTCCCCACCATTTTCTCTTCACAGTCACACATGGAAAATACTATTTTAATAGCACACTGGAGTAAGAGTCAACCAGATGGGGCAGGGAGCACCAGTGCTCAGCAGCTGAGGGGCTCATTCTCTCAGTGATCCCTGTGAGCCAGGTCTCTGATTCTCCCAGCAGCAGTTGGACTAGGAGCCCTGTGTGACCTGGTGGATCCTCCTGAGCTGCAGCAGAGGATCTCAACCCTGGCTGCACAGCAGAGCTTTTAATACCCACCATGGCACAGGCCCTACCCCAGATCTATTACATCACAAGTGCTAGGGATAGGGCCTTAGTATCTGTATCTTTTAAAACTCCAGCTGAATTTCATGCAAAGAGAAGGCTGAGAACCGTCGATCTATAGTTTCAGATCGATCTATAGTTTCAGATTCAGATGTGGCTCTAGAAACTTTAATTTATTCAGGACTCTGATTTTCATATTGAAACATTAAGGAATCCCATGTAATCCCAGCAGTTTGGAAGGCTGAGGTGGGCAGATACTTGAGTTCAGGAGTTTGAGACCAGCCTGGGCAACATGACTAAACCTTATCTCTACAAAAAAAACAAAAAAAAATTAGCTGGATGTGATGTCACACATCTGTAGTCCCAGCTACGGGAGGCCGATGCAGGAGGATTGCTTGAGCCCAGAAGTTGCAGTAAGTTGTAGTCGCACCTCTGCACTCCAGCCTGGACAACAGAGCAAGACCCTGTCACACACACAAAAAAGGAATCCCAGTGTCTACTGAGCACATAGTCTTCTTGTGGCTCATTTGAATCTAACAGCTTTGTTGAGGTCTCCTCCATGGCAGACAGCATACCAGGCAGGTACCAGGATACTGACATGGGGGAGGGTCTTCCCTGCTTGCTAGTAATCCCTGTCTGTGGAAGACACCATACACCTAACTCACGCCCAGTAGGACCAAAGTCAGGCTAGAGGCGTGAACACACCTTTTTGAGACACAGATGGGGAACCACTGGTTTGCTGAATTGGTGAAGGTTTATTGAGAGAGACGGAGAAGAGCACATGATTGGTGGATTGATTTGAACTAGATTGTAAAGAATGAAGTTAATTCCTTGGGTGGAGAAGGAAGGAGGGGCTGTGCTGGCTAAGGAAACAGTGTGAGAAAAAAACGGTAAACCTTCAGTGTGGCTGAAATGTACCGAGCATGGGGAAGGACCAACTCCTACTGCCTTGCTGAGGAGTTTCGATGTGATCCTATGGAAAATGGAAGGGAAAAAGAGGGCTTTTGTGTTCTCACAATGACAGTGATAATGGCCATTAATTCCAGAGCCCTTAGTGTGGGCCAGGATTGCATGAATGCTTTTGTATGCATTCATTCTTCACAATCATGTGAGGTGGGAATTTTATTTTCTTCATTTTACAGACAAGGAAACTACATTTCAGAGGGGTTCTAGCTTCACATAGCTAATGAGTGGCTGAGCTGGGATTCAAACCCAGGATTGCAATATCAAAATTTTTCCAGTGCACCTTGCTGCCACCATGGAAAGTGGCTGTGAAGATGGGGATGCCTTTCAAGAGATATTTAGTAAATGGAACCAACCAAAAAGCTTTTGGTCAGGCAGATGTGGCAAGGGAATAGAAAGAAGGGTCCGAGGTGACTCCTGTGTTTCTAGCTTGGGTACATTTGTAAAGTTATGTCATTCATCAGGGGAGTGCTTGGAATGGGGTTTGGACACAATGAGTTTGGGGCAATGGCACGTCGGATCCAGAGACTGCTGGATCATGCCTCTACCAAGTCATCCCGTGAAGAACTGAAAGATGAGTCGGGAGATAACAGATATAGGAGTCATTATTTGTATGACATCCTTGACAAACCCTGTGGGGGAATCCCACAGATCTTTCTAGTCCCTAATGGCCCCTCTATTTCCAAACTCGTGGGCTCTGCTCAAGTTGCTGCTGTAACCCAGAAGGCCTTTCCATCTCCTTTTCTGACTGCTCACAACCTCTTTATTCTTCAAGACACAAACAATGTAAATATCTGTGCTACCATGAAGCTGCCCTGGGCCTCCCTCTTTCCTGTGCTCCCCTGTCCTTTGGCTGGCTTTCTATTATATTTTGCTTTGTCCAGCTGGGGAATCACAAACAGCCATGTCACTGTGTTTCTCTCCCCTCCGCTTTCGAGTCCCGTGAAGACAGAGTTTCTTTCTGTGAGGTGCTTAGGAGAAGCTCCATGAATGTGTATTGAATTGGACTCAGTTGAACAGGCTGCTGGTTGACTGCTCAGAGGGGGCAGGCTGTGTTGCTGGGAGCCTTCCAGCTCCATGCAGCAGTCATGGGGCAGGGTTCCCCAAGTCCGTCATCCCCATTTCCATCTACTTTCCCTTACGTGGTTTCCTCTGTTGTTTTCAGCCTAAGTGGAGCGTCCCCTTTCCTGGGAGACACAAAGCAGGAAACATTGGCAAATATCACAGCAGTGAGTTACGACTTTGATGAGGAATTCTTCAGCCAGACGAGCGAGCTGGCCAAGGACTTCATTCGGAAACTTCTGGTTAAAGAGACCCGGTAAGAGGACAGAGAAGCCACTGGTTTCTCAGGTACTGATGGCTTCCTGTCGCCTCTCTCAAAGACCTGTCAGTGTGTCCCAGCTTTGACATAGCTGTCATCTGCACTGTTGTAGTCTAATCTGGGCAGGTGCTGGGAAGTGTGGCCTAGCCAAGATGTGGCATTTGTCTTGTTTGCTCAAGTCTTTCTGCTTTCTTCTCCTGCTGAAATGTAAATAATGCGTGTTTGTGTGTGTGTGTTTGTGTGTGTGTGTGTGTGTGTGTGCTGGAAGTCAGCCCGGGTTTCTTTAGGGCTCATTACTTTGTAAAGTCTGTCCCAAAGGCACCTGGATTTCAGATTTGAAAAGGTTAAATGGCAGGGTTTTCAAGCCAGTTCAGGTTGGGAGTGGGAGCAGGTGGGCTTGGAGAGATCACTTCCGTGGGAGGGTGCTAAGACATGCTAACTTTATCCCTTCTTCAGGGGCCAGGGTGAGCCCCATGGCAATGGGGCCAAATAGGAGGTAGGCAGGGAATTGCAGGGTGCTGGGTGCCCAGAGCATGCCTTGGATGGGACAGGAAGAAAGATCCACAGAGTAGAACACCATGTCCTCTCCATCCCACAGACTTCAGAGAGGGCCAGAATAGGGTTGTCTGGAGTGCAAGGTCCCTGATTTTCCTGTCTAAGAGCAGTGTTAGGGAGAGTCACTGACCTGGGTACAGAGCAGCGAAAGGCAGAGAAAGGATCCAGAAGGCAAACAGAAAAGCAGAGACCATGGGTTTAGCAATGGGGAGCTGGCTTTTGGAGGATTCTGGAAGCTCATTTAGCACATTTACGAATCTTCTTAGACCTTTCAGCTTTGGGACTGAAGGTATGGGTTTAGGTAACAAGGCCACTCTGTTGAGGGATCTGCCTGGACCACTTCCTTCCCCTAGAGTGCAGGATATGCAGCCAGTTCCCATTCATCTCTGTATCCTCCATTCCACTGGTTTGATGACAGTGGCCAGATAATGCCAAAATGTTGGTCTAAAGAGTAAGAACGGAGATGGTTGCTCCCAGCTTCTGTCCTGATGGATCACTATTTCTCAAACCTCTTTGCAGGAAACGGCTCACAATCCAAGAGGCTCTGAGACACCCCTGGATCACGGTAAGGGCACAGTCATGAGTTCCAATGGGCAAAGGGTCCCTGGCCTGGGTAGCCAGATGCAGAGGGTCCACTGGAGAGACCTTTGCTTGAAGGTCTGGGCACAGATGAAAGCTAGCCAGGGGCCCCAGAGGGCCTGGGCTTGTTCAAATCGGTTTATTTGCTTGCTATTTTAAGTTTGTGTCTCTCATATTCAGGTAACTTATGAAACGAAACCCTCATAAACCTCAGCTGAAATGCTTTTTCTTTGGGGCCACCTTACACATTATTATTTGTTGAAGAGTATGTCACTGTCCCTTCTCCAAGTGGAAATCAGGATTCCCCAGGTGTAGAGAGATCAGTGACAATTGAAAACCGCAATGTGACCAGGCCTCCTCCTTTCGGATTTTGGGGCTCTGAGTCAAAGATGACACTTAAATCAGCCACCCAGTTCCTCAGGCCCTGAGGAATGGGGCCTGAGACGGAGGTCTGGTGGGGAAGAGAGACAGCCACTGTTAGGGCAGTTCTTTTCCCTCTGGGGAGAGTCGGGGCAAAAAGATGGATTCCTGCCTAACTCGCCTTGCAGTCTGGCTTCCAGCTGCTGGTTTTCCAGAGGGTTTTGCGTCTGGTGTAAAGAGCACTTTGAGAGGGTGGGACTCGGCAGGATTCAGGCTAGCTATGCACACCCAGGGACGTCACCAGACATCCCCTTAACTGTTAAGTGAGAAGGCCAGCAAGGATGAAATGACCATAAGAAAGGTAGAGATAAGAGAGGGTGAGGCAGGTTGGGCACAATGGCTCATGCCTGTAATCCCAGCACTTTGGGAGGCCAAGGCAACAGGAGGATGAGAAGTTCAAGACCAACCTCAGCAACATGCCTATACCCCATCTCTCTAAAAAATAATAATCAAATAAAAAGAGAAGGTGAGGCCTGTGGAAGACAGAATAGGGAGGGCTGGAGTAGTCTGGGAGAAGGTCAGCTTCATCTGCTCAGCTTCATCTGCTCGTTGAAGGAAGGGGAAGGCCCAAGGAGCCCCAAAGGAGAGATGCTACTCAGCCCTGCTGTGTGAGCCCTGGCCTTGCACGCTCCAGCCCTGCACAGATGCCTGCAGAGTCCTGGCTGCAGCCTGCTTGTCTGTGTGAGCACCTGTTAAATGCTATGTGTGTGGAACCATCTCTAATGGCCATGGACCCCTCTGCCCTGAATGAGCATGCAGGCAGCACCCCATACTCCTCGACCTCACTTATGGTCTGTGGGGGTGCTCATCCCACCCTGGTTCTTCCCGTGGCCTGACGCATGCAGTGAACACCAGAGGCCACATGTGTGCCTTCTGCCTGCCCCTCGGACTGCCTTCTGGGGCAGGCAACAAATTAACACTCTGATTCTTCTGTCTGAACACCCACCAGTCAAAAGGAGAAGTCAGAGCCCCTGAACAGCGCAAGACAGAGCCCACCCAGCTGAAGACCAAGCGCCTGAGAGAGTACACTCTCAAATGCCACTCAAGCATGCCTCCCAACAACACCTATGTCAACTTTGAGCGTTTTGCCTGTGTGTTGGAAGACGTGGCCCGGGTGGACCTGGGATGCCGTGCCCTGGTGGAGGCCCATGATACCATCCAGGATGATGTGGAGGCCCTGGTCTCCATCTTCAATGAGAAGGAAGCTTGGTACCGAGAGGAGAGTGAGAGTGCCCGGCACAACCTGTCCCAGCTCAGGTATGAGTTCCGCAAGGTAGAGTCATTGAAGAAGCTGCTGCGAGAAGACATCCAGGCCACGGGGTCCAACCTTGGAAGCGTGGCCAGGAAACTGGACCAGGTGGAGGCCCAGTTTGAGGCTCTGAGGCAGGAGTTCTCCGCAGACCTGCAGTGGATCCAGGAGCTGGTGGGCAGCTTCCAGCTGGAGAGTGGGAGCTCCAAGGGCCTGGGCTCCACATTACACCAGGACACCAGTGAATCCCTATCAGAGCTGCTCAGCAGATCATGTACCGGGGAAGTTCTGGCTGGCTGGAAGCTCTGAGCGCCAGAGTCCAGTCAGTAATGCATCCCAAGAGGTTTGCGGAAGCATGTTCTCATCCGCCCTGCTGCAGCATCTAGCTAGAATTATCCTGCAGGGGTGTAAGTCTGTAGTATAGCCTTCCACCCCCTCCACAGAATCCTGAATCACTGAGGTGCCAATTCATTATTCATTCTGCACCTCCCCTTACCACTCTGGTTTTCTGGGAGGGTGCTGGCAGGGCAGCCAAGCTGTTAAAACAATTAGAGAGTGAGTACCCTTCAGGGTCCCCTTCTCTAGAGGAAAGATGGCTGGCCCTAGGGAGATGCTTGAGAATTGATTTGTGATGAAGGATTTGTTCACATCTCACTTTCTGCCTACATACCTTATGGCTTGTAGATCTTGGGTAATATTTGAGTTAACTGCAAATAACTAAGTCAGCATGGTGTTCTCCTGCTATAGAAGCAGGGATTTAAAATGCATACAGAAAATAATATTACCTTCCATTTGCATTGATTTTTCATTTACTGAGCACATTATGTCTGACAAATAACCTCACTTGATCCTTAAAAGAACTCAGTGAGGCCGGGCGTGGTGGCTCAAGCCTGTAATCCCAGCACTTTGGGAGACCAAGGCGGGCAGATCACTTGAGGTCAAGGGTTCAAGACCAGCCTGGCCAGCAAGGTGAAACCCCATCTCTACTAAAAATGCAAAAGTTAGCCGGGCATGATGGCAGGTGCCTGTAATCCCAGCTACTCGGGAGGCTGAGGCAGGAGAATTGCTTGAACCTAGGAGGCAGAGGTTGCAGGCAGCCGAAATGGTGCCATTGTACTCCAGCCTGGGCTATAGAGCAAGACTCACTCTCAAAAAAAAAAAAAAAAAAAAAGAACTCAATGAGATAGGAAGGTGGGTGGTATTATTATCATTTCCATGTAACTGATGAGAAAATTGACTCAGAGAGGGAAAATGATATGATCAATCAATACAGATGAAAGAGAAACCCAGCATGCCCATCTCTAAGATGAGGTATATGGGAGAAAGTAGTAAGGCTTTGCTGTAAATATGTATCTTAATATTAAAGTCCAGGTCCCAGAGGCAAAGTAAGCAACTTCATGCATTCTGCCAGGTGTAAGTGGGATGCATATACTGGCAGATGATTGTCCTAGGAGCTCTGTCCCAGAAGGCACAGTCATTGTCCCTACCCAGCCCTGTCTCTGTCTGAAGATCTGCCTGCAAGCAGGAGAGAAGGAAAGAAGGAGTCTTCCCATTCTCCACCCTTTCCCCTCTTCTAGCTAACAGCCCCAATTTTGGGTTGGGAATAAATACCAGAAGGTCCTCAGCAGGAGGGTCCTTTTCTTAAGTACCTAGGCCATTAGGCCTTGAAGGCCTAAGAAATTCCATGAGAATTTTTGAAAAGGGTGAATGTAAACATGGAGAAGCTCAAGGCCACGTGGTCCTTTCATGACCCAAAGCTTTGAGCACCCTTCTCCAAGGATTATAAGATCTCATCTCCCTTTCTCTGGAGGAGGAGCAAGTCAACCAGCTCATTCATATCAACAGAGCATGGCATATGAGCCCAGTGCTGAGCTAGGAACCTGTGAGTGGGGCATAGCTTGTATAGTTCAAAGTGTCTTCAAGGCCTCACAAAACATCCCTGTCACAGAGGCAGACTAAATGATATTCCCAATTTAGAGATGAGGAAACAGCAGATGGGATTTTCCCAAGGTTACATCATTATAGCAAAAGTAGAGGCCTTCTGATGACAAGTCTGTTGCTCTTTCTGCTTCCCCTGGCTGCACCGGGAGACGGAGGTTTACTCCCTGCTTGGGAGGGCAGCTCACACCTGGATTCATCCATCCATTTACAAATAATACTTAGGCACCAACCAACTTCCAGGTGCCTGGCTTGACTCTGGCAATACAATGTTGAGTAAAAACAGGCCTGATTCCTGCCTTCACAGAGTACTCAGTCCAGCGAAGGATTTGAACATCGAATCACACAAATGTAGAGCTGCAACTTGTGTGCATGCTGGGAGAGAAGCACGCAGCGCTGCAGCAGCCTGCCATGGGGGTCTGACGTCATCGGGGGAAGCGTCCTGAAGCATCCTGAGGCAGTGACACTGGAACAGAGATCAGCTAAGGCAACCAGGGAGAGAGAAGTTTCCCAGCAGAACCATCATGCCAGGGCTCTGTGATGAGAGGCAGTGTGGAAGGCTGAGAATGCGAGGACGGGAAGCTGAAGGGGAGAGAATAGGAATACAGTGTGAATGACCGGAGAACAGGCAGGACCAGCAGGCCTGTGGCCATGTGGAAGATCTCTGCCCTTACCCCAAAAGTCATGGGAAGTCAGTGGGTTCCAGATGCTGGTGAGGAAATGCCCCGTGAACAGCTCAGGCAGGAAGTGGTTTAGGACAAGACATGAAAGTTTGATCTCATGGAAACCATTTCTTCAAAATCCTGTCTCCTTTTCTATTTGCATGAAGGATCATTTCAAATATCATACATAATATTTGTAACAGAAGCTTTCTTCATCAGATATGAGAAACCATGGTGATAAGAGGCATCATTAGTTTATGGACCACTAAGGAAAAAAGCCCGAGATGGGAAGTCCAATAGGAACCTCTCCCTACCCCCACCAAGTAAAGCTACGATGCCCTCAGTGAGAGGGTGAGAAGTAAAGTCACCATGCAGAAAAGGGAAGCAAGGAAACCTGTGTGTCTTAAACCTGACACTAAGTGGGGGTGAAAAATCCTCCTCTGGGAACAGGAGTCCCAGACTGGTAGTATTCATGCAGGTTTGCTTTCTGAATTTGCACAATCAGTATGATCCAAAACAACATCAAGCAGAGAGTATGATGTCCGGCAGTCTGAGGCTGGGTGGCTCTGGGTGGCAGAAATAGTACTGTCCTCTCCCAGAGCATCTGCCTTCACTCCAGGCCAACAGTAAGAATATGATACCATCATCCTGACTTTAGAGATCCAAACATGTGCACCTTGGAGCCAATGGAAGATGGCAAAAGCTCTGTTTCCCACA